GTTGTTTCTGCGTGGTTGGTAGTAATCAACCAAGAATGATAGAATACAAGATTGCGCCGATCAGAGAGGATTTTTGAGAATAACTTTTGTGTGACGTCACACTGGTGCAATTGCGAGAGAGAAATACCAAAACGTGAGCAAGAATGGAAGAAGAAGAAAAAATGTTGCAAGGAAAACGTAAACAAGTTGCACAAGTGTGACGTCATACAAACCACGATTCTGTCAAATTCGTTAAGAGAGGAATAGCGGTCCGAGATCGGCGCAACCTTTGTATTCTCTCAATCGTGGTAATCAACAACTTCTTCCGCAGCGGTACGAAGGGATTGGGAGATGGCGTCCCACTGCTCATTTATGTCCAGGCGATGAGGAGTTGCTTGATTAAGCAGGGTTGAGAGTCGGTTGCTAAATTTTTCGGCGGCTTTGCGATGTCGAACTTTCGTCGCGTTAGCTGCAACAAGGTAGTGATCCGAGTCGATGTTGGCACCTCGGATAGAGCGCACGTCAAAAACGCTCGAGGCGTATCTTCCATCTATCACAACATGATCAATTTGGTTCTTTGTTTTTTGATCAGGGGACACCCAAGTTGCTTTGTGGATGTTTCGATGCTGGTGTCTGGTACTACTGACTACCATGTTCCGTGCCGCGGCGAAGTCGATCAGCCTCTCTCCGTTGTCGGAGGTGTTGTCATGAAGGCTGAATTTTCCGACTGTTGGACCAAATACGCCTTCTTTGCCCACCCTGGCGTTAAAGTCACCCAGAACGATTTTAATATCGTGGCGGGGGCAGCGCTCATACGCTTCTCCTAGACGCTCATAGAAAAGCTCCTTAGTCTCGTCGTCCTTCTCTTCCGTCGGGGCGTGCACACAAATTAGGCTGATATTGTTAAATTTCGCCTTTATGCGGATTGTGGCGATTCGCTCACTGATGGGCGTGAACCGGAAGACAAGGTGTCGGAGTCTCCGCCCAACCACAAATCCGACACCAAATTTGTGCGCCGTCTCATGGCAGCCATGCCGCGTCCATCGCATACCCTGAACTGCGGTGATGTCAACCTGGTATTTTGTTAGTACAACCAGCTGTTGGATAGAGGCACTTTCCCTATAGAGGGTCCGGACATTCCAGGTGCATATCCGTAATTCATAGTCCTTATTCCGTTTACGGGGGTCGTCATTGGAAATATTTTTTTACGTGGCGGGTCCCAAACCCCGCGCACAACCATTGCTGGGGCCTACATATAATTACTACTACTAGTAGTGAAATAATTGATTTAGCGTAAAACTAGTTTGAACTTAATTTTTTATAAATTTATTGATAAATTTATTTATTATAAGTTTATTGATTTCCAATCTGAATGCAATGTAAGTCCCTGGGAGCATCACACCATTGATAGGATTGCCGAATTTGTATAACGTCAGATTGCTGAAAAATAAATTTCGCGACTTTTAGAGGAAAATTTCGACAATTGCTTGTAAACTTCGCGCAAAAAAATAAAATAAAATTATAAATTAAGGTTGGAGAAACTCCAATTTCCTGTCCACACTTGAGTTAAGCCCTCATTCAATTTTATTGCATATTTCTTCAATGGTACTATTATTTATTAACGCTTTGAAGTGGTACTTTTATAAGCGAGGAGTATCTCAAGGAAAATGTAAAATTTGAGCTTGCAATATGATGTAGATGGTGAATAAAAATGAACTTGTACTTTTTAGCTTCATTTACGTTCAGAAGGCGCAACAGCTCAGTAACTGTTGCGATTGCATCTTCTGAACGCATTGTTCTGTACTTCTGATCAACTGAACAGTTGCGTGTTAGATGATCGTAATATTTTTCTGATCATTTGAGACAACATGTTGGTGTGTACATAACTTTGACAGCTATTGTATCAAGCCGTTCAGAAAACGCATAACGATCACTGATTTTTTTTATCAACGGTTGCACTCAACGGTTGCGCCTTCTGAACCTACCCAACGTATTGTGATTTCCATGATAAAAATATAGTAAGGTAGAACCGCTGAGAGTCACTTTTAAAATTCTTGACGCTTCCAAACAATTTAATTTTTAAATTTACTCACAAACCCAAACACACATTTTCATTTTCAATCTCAAGCAACAACAATTTCGAACAATTTCGTTTTTTTATTTTCACTTTTATATGATTTTAAAATGTTGGCAAACTTCAAAAAAAAAATCATGGCCGACAAATTGAGAGAACGGTTCTACCTTGCTATATTTTTATCATGGAGATTTCACTTCAATATAAAAATTTTGAGCAACCCTGGTATACAGTAATCCAGATAGGCAAACAAAAAATGTAAATATGCTTATTTAACAATTTGTTTGAATGTATTGGTTGATATTTTTCACAGTTGTCGCTTTGTTACCCAAATGAAATCCAATTTCAATATTATTATAATTTTAATAAGGGAAAAATATTTTTAAGTCATATTAAATAAAATAGCGAGAAACACGAAATTCAAAACAAATCAGATGTGAAGCGTAAGCGATTCCGACCGGAGTATCCAAATATCGCGATCGGAATTGATGGTGTGACAGACGCCTATCACTAATTTTTTAAAAGGTATTAAAATGAATTTGTAATGTTTTAAATTAACTTAAAATTAGAGATGGCGTTTTAAGATTTTTGGCTGGCCCAATAATTCTTCCTTTACATTTAATAAGGATAAGCAAGTATCTTTAAAATCAAATGAAAAAAGCACGGTTAACATTAATTCATTAAAATTCAAAAATATCAGTTTCTTTTCAACTCCTTTCATTCCCAATTCCTAACTGTTAACGCCATGAACACAGCCTATCAGGCCAGCTAATGGAACACACTCGCAACGGAATTTCGCTAGCAAAGAGAAACGCCACAAAAACAGCAACCAACTTCACATTTTTCACATTCTACTATTTCGCTTTTCCATTGAATGTAGTGTCGTGTCGCGAGTGCGTCAAATGTTGCAGATTTGAATAAAAAATGCCATCAATAATTAATAAAACTATTGAAAAAGTTAAAAATAAACACTAAAGTAAGTATGTGCATTGAAAATCGCTGAAAAAACGAGTGAAAAATATGCGAAATCAATGAATGAAAATTGTAAAACCTGCTTGCCAGTGAAGGTAGTGAGAAGAAAAATTTTTCCATCTTTCGTATCTGTACACGAGTATTCGGGTGTGTTTGTTCGTTGCGAGTGATTGTTTATATGTGTGTAATTTCGTTGGCGAGTTTGGTTTGCGCGAATAGCAACAACGAGAGCGCATAACCAACAAAAAAAGGCGAAGAAAACATTTTAAAGCAAAATTGGTGAAGAGAATGCGAAGTGAAAAAGTGTACGAATTGTGACAAAAATACAATTAAAAATGTATCCTAATGGAATTCGAATTAAAAGGCAATAGTAAAAATTTTGCAAACCAAAGAAGAAAATAAAAAGCGTATAAAAGAAACCCATTTTTGGAAGTGAAAAACCAGGTAAGCAAAATTAATGATTTACTGAAGAAGAAGGGAGAACAACACAAAAATATGGAAAATTGATTGACAATTTGACAAATAGAGAAGAATGCACAAGAGGCACGAAACAGACATGAAGAAAACAACACACGAAAAAAGTAAATGAAGCAGCAGCCGTGGCAGTAAAATCAGCATCAGCAAAGAGAAATCTTCGTTTTGTTTTTTTTTGCAAAGAAATGCGCGCGCACAGCGTTGCAATTGGCGGTGAATTCGTGGTTTGTTTTGATGGCTGCTGCTGGTGCTGTATGCTCTGTTGCTCCAAAAAAGCATCAGGCTGCTGGGGAATTTCTGTCATGAATTCGTAAAATGTATGTTTTGCGTACAGGCGGGAAACCGCGTTGTAAATAATTGATTTACTCAACAGCCAAAAAGTGGTTGATTTCCCTTCAATAGCTGCGTGCAGCGGAGCGTATTTCACAGTATGTTGTGAAAAATCCATTGTTCATGCTATCGTGAGAATTATTCTAAGGAAAACCAACCGGCTATTGATACAATCTTAAGAGTTTTTCCAAATACTGAAAAGATAATAAAATTCAATTCAAATATAATTCTTTGTAGGCAAACCATTTGTGCAATGCAATGATATGCATGGATGTGCATACATATGTATGTTTGTATGTAGTTTGAAAATCGCTGTCTCGAAATTTCCGCTGCGTCACGCGTTAAGGCTCCGTTATGCATACTTGGCATTGCTTGAGAGTTGTCACATGAGGAATCTGTTAAATGAGCTTCGCGTGTAAGCGGTTACCCAACGCACAGCATTACATACGTAAAAGTCTGTTGGTTTTTGATTTCTACGTAAAAATGGTATAGCAGTGCATGCAATGCCAAGTATGCATAACAGAGCCTTTACCCTTATTTCTTTTGTTTACCCTCGAAAGTGAACCGAAAATAAGAACAACTAAAGAGCGTGTCAGACGTGGCAATGTAATATATTTGGAAAAGGCTGTCAAATTGAGAAATTTCAGAAAGCTGTTGCATGAGCAGTCACACCTTGCATGTAAAGTGTTTTTCGAAAGAGTATTTTTTTTTTTGATTTCCGAAAGGCAGGTTGCACGAGCAAGTAGAAATATATTTCTGAAATCGATTTGCGCTCTCTCAACTGCAGTCACATCTTGCAACTTTTATTTCTGAAACTGATTTCCGAAATGTGACAAATGTCTCATTCTCAATTTGACAGCGAATTGCGAGGAAACGCAGGAAATATTGCCACGTCTGACACGGTCCTAATAACTGCAACGCAACAACAAAACAATCGCATCAACAGCAGCAGCAGCAGCAGCAATTACCATTACCTGAATATGTATGTAATTATCCTTAAAAGCAACCAACCAACCTTTTGTTTTTTTTGCTTTGCTTTGTTGCGCTTGCACACATTGTCGGTCTGCTATTGGACGGCATAACGAGTTTTCGTTGTAAAGCTGTTATTGTTGTTGCCTTTCTTATTGCCTTCAACGATGCGCTCTTGTATGTATGTATGTACATAGTTTAGTATGTGGAATACATACATATATCCACTTAATTTACCTTAATCGGCCACAGTCGTCAATTGTGCGCTCGTCCAGCTATTGGATCATCGAAATTGGGCAGCGAAGGGAAAAGTGTATTCAACGCTAACACTGTAGATATCCGAGAATAAAATGCTAAATAATTAAATTATTTCATGTTAAATTTAAAAAGGCATAAGTTTCGACGATTAAAATTTAAAATACTCCGAACAAATTGAAAGGCTAAAATTGTGCGAAGTATCTATCTATTATGCAAATTAACTAATTAACGAAATTCATAGCAGCAATAAAAATTCGCATGCAAATTGAAGGTAAAGTGTGGGCAAACAGAGAGTAATAAATAATGTTAACAAATTCAATAAAAAGTGTGCTATAATATCATAGACGAGACAAATATTAAATGCAGAATAGAATCACATTGAAAGAGAAACAACTAAAAAAGGCATAAAAGCGAAACCAAAGTCATAAAACTATAACCACCACAAACATGTTAATTAAGTCAGCAAAGTCAACTGAAAAATATCGAAAATGAAACTAAAACTATACAAAATTTATAGACCGAAAAATGTTGCTGCTGCTACGAGTATTTAGTTAAAGCGATTTCTATGCATAAAACACACTGAAAAGGGGCACTTTAAAACTACATACTACTTGCCTGCGCGTGCATGTTCTGTATGTGAATTCGCCAAATGTGTGTGTGTGTGTGCGTGTTTGCACAGCATCAATAAATAAATAAAAAATCCGGCAGTGGGAATGACAACTAAAGTAACAATAAGAAAAGAAAATATTGCGAATAAAAACAACTTAAATTAATGACAACAACAATAAGTATGTACCTAGTAGGTACATAATTAAAATTAAGCGCATATTAAGGCTGCGCCAGCTGCCGATGGCTGTTATTGTATCTGATTTGTTGTTTTTGTTTTTTTTTTGTGTTTTTTTTTTGCGTTTTTACCGCGGTGTCGAAGCTGATAGATACTTTTCAAAAGCAGTATTTCAGTTGTCTCTTCCATCACTATTTATGTAGGTATACCTATGTATGTACATATGTACTATGCCTATAAAGTCCACCAATTTGTCTCGCAGTTTCTTGTTTTTGTGTATTTTGTCATTCCTCACTTTTTGGCCATTCGTTGATATGTATGCATATTTGTTTTCTATCCCAAGGTAAAAAAAAAACAACAATAACACAAAATAATTTGCTATTTCATGTGTGTATAACAAAAATCTAACTATTCGCGCTCTTAATAAATCGCACAAAAATTAGTCTGGCGAATAAAAGTAGAAACAAATACATACATATCTATGTTTGAATATACATACATAGTTAGATAAAATTATGGCAAGTGTGGGAGAAGCGCGAAAATGAGCAAATCCGCCAAATTATCGCGTGTGTATGTACATAGCTGAACACAATACACTGAGTAATTGTATACAGTAGTGGGTAAAATTGTTGCAGCTTTTTCTAGTGTTTTTCAACATATCGTAGGTACTTTTAAAAATTTACAGAAGTAATTCGAAATTTCAGCTTTTTGATATAATAGTCAATAGACTATCTGTCTAAAAAGCTAAAGCTAACTTTATAGTCGACTTTACTCCCATTAAAAATGTGCCTTATAATATCGAAAATTTGTGCACGAATCCGGAAAATTCAATAAATTTGCATACAGATTTGTAACTATACATTTAATCAGAATTTTTTGGAAGCCCATAAAAAAAGCAACTTGAAGTTGTTAAAAAAATCGCGCTTATTTTTGAGAATTTTTTGTCGAAGGTGTTTCACATTTTTTCCGTACAAGGTATGTGCATACATATTTTCGAAATTTTAAACTTGCACTTTATGGTGCTAAAATTTAGTGGGCTACAAAACTGCATTAAAAAGTTGCAAATCTGTAAATTATATTTTTAACTTTTTCTTATTGTAATATTTATTGTATATTGACGGAAAACATTTAAATAAAACTACTGCATTTATTGTGAAAAATTCTATGTGTCAATGATTTTTTTACGGCAGTCTACATCGATGGCTGAGTGGAAGATCGACCTATCTCGGCAGACAGTTCGAAAACGCTATATCTCAAAAAACTTTTCAAGAACACCCTATTTCAGAATTTAATTGAAAAACACCCTATCTCAAAATTCGGTTCAAAAACGCCCTATCTCACTTCAAAATGTATTGAAAATATGCTGATATAGGGCGTTTTTGAATCGGCAGCTGAGATAGGGCGTTTTTGAAACGAATTCTGAAATAGGGCGTTCTTGAGTTTTTTGAGATAGAGCGTTTTCGAACTGGCTGCCGAGATAGGTCGATCTTCCACTCAGCCATCGATATGCCTTTCGTTCTGTTTTTTTTAACCGACTTCCAAAAAAGGAGGAGGTTATCAGTTCGTCGGAATATATATATATATTTTTTTTATGTATGTTACCCCATAACTTTCGATAATTCTTTTTGCATCGGAAAGGTAGTGTCTCAGAGTTGGTCCCATACTAATCTGGTTTAGATCCGATCCGATCTACAAGTTTTGACCATTTATTTTTATTTATTAGTTTTAATTGATAATTTTTGGACAATATACTGTACCGGTCAGATCAATAGCACCTCCATTTCAAAATAATATTTTTTCTCGCCTATGTATGCTTATTTATTTACTTTTAAGAATTTCCAATTAAAATACAGTTCATGCCCCAAAAAACCCATATATTAAATAACATTGTAGAAAACTAAAAAAAAAAATTTAGCCAATTTTCATGTAAATTTCAAACTCTTTTCTCACACGCGTTAGAATTTTTTTGAGTTCTCATTGGAAGTTTCATGTGGTTAAAAATTACCGTTGACTCACAATTATTTTTTAACCGACTTTAAAAAGGAGGAGGAGGAATATTTTTGAGTATGTTTTTAACGATTAACTCTCTACCATGTGAATCATTTTTGATAGTTATTTTTTGGACGGAAAGGTAGTTCCATAATGATCTGGTTCAGTTTCATTCATTGGATCACCAAGAAATTAGCCGTAATCTTAAATTTGTACATACATACATATATGAAAATTCAATTCGATTAACTTTTTGCGCTTAAAAATCAACGGTAATTTTGAGCCACTTGAAACTTGCTCTTTATTATGCTATGTACATAGAATTAAATAGGCTACACAATTTCCTACTCAAAATCTTTCTAAGAAATCTAAATACAAAGCTTGAAAATGTTATATAGCGCAAGATTTGAAATTCAGATTTATGAGGGTTTTATTGAAGAATGAACTATATTTAAATAAAAAAACTAAAATTTAATAACAAAAACAAAAAAAAAACACGTAAATTTGTCAATATGTGGTGGTGGTCTATACTTTTTTCGACCACTGTACGTAACCCATACGTGTTAAATTTTGCATCTTTCTTTTCGTTAAATTAAAATTTTTTTTATCCGTTTTTGCATATGTTACGTTTAATTAACTTACTGGGTCGTATTTAGGTTCCAAACAATTGTTTTCATATAGCTTTCGAAAATATTGGGTTTTAAGTTTTTTCTTTTTTTGACATGAAAATAATATGCAATGAACTTTTTAAAAAGTTTTAAACAAATATTCTTGCTGTTTTTGCGTCAACGAATACATTTCCAAGGCCGCAAGAAACATTTACAGGTCATTTTAAGGGTCTGATTGAATGAAAAATACCTTAACTTAACTCAAAAGTATTTTTATTTTATTTTTTTATCTGCAGCTAATTGAAATACGCGTTTCGGTTCTTGCGACCACGAAAATATATTCTTTGAAGCAAGAACAGCAAAAATATCTGCTTAAACTTTTCAAAAAGTTAATTGCATACTGCTTTCAGTTCATAAAAAGAAAAATTTTAAACCCTTCTTTTTAGGCTTTTTAAACCCTTCAATTTTAGAGTTTTTGGCACCAAACAATAGCAAAAAGATTAAAAACTGCTACCGTTGCACTTTTCTTCCCCACAAGTGTCTAACCCATTATCGAACGAAAACCAGTATTTTGTAGTTTTTATAATTTGTAAGTGTTCTCTCGTTTCTTCTCGTTGTTAATGTTTTTTTGTTGCTGCTCCATATTGTCTTATATGAAGATTTGTTTTACGAAGATACATACACTAGGCGGCAAATGAAAGTTTACACCTTGTTCTAATATAATATGTATTCACACTTATTTTCATGGATAATTTTTTGCCCTAATTATTTATGAAAATATAGTTGATTTTATACTATAGACCATATATCGATGGCTGAGTGGAAGATCGACCTATCTCGGCAGCCAGTTCGAAAACATTCTATCTCAAAAAACTTTTCAAGAGCGCCCTATTTCAGAATTCGTTTCAAAAACGCCCTATCTCAGATGCCGATTCAAAAACGCCCTATATCAGCATATTTTCAATACATTTTGAAGTAAGATAGGGCGTTTTTGAACCGAATTTTGAGATAGGGTGTTTTTCAATAAAATTCTGAAATAGGGCGTTCTTGAAAAGTTTTTTGAGATAGAGCGTTTTCGAACTGGCAGCCGAGATAGGTCGATCTTCCACTCAGCCGTCGATATGTAAATCGAAGTTTCACACTATATACCGCAAAAGCAGTCTCCATAAAAAAAAAAATAAAAATCAAAGCGATTTTTTAGACTGTTCAAACTTGCATTTCATTAGACTAATAATTCTGGAAATTTTAAATAAAAAGTTGAAAATTTTGATGAATTTTTTTTTTAATTTTTGTGAACTTTATATAATATGCGAAGCTTTAATTTATATGGTTTATATTATAGAATGAACTATATTTTAATGCAAACAATTTGTCTTGAAAATAATTATGAATATTACATATATGTACATTGGCGGCAGACATAATTGACTCGCCTTACTTTGAAAAGTTTTGGCTGTATGTATTTCCATGGTTTATTTTATGTTTATTATTTTTTTAGAAAACCTGGCTAGTTATACAACAAACACCATACAAATCCCCTTTTCAAACTTTATACAAAAATTATAAAAGTTCAACAAAATCTCACCAAATTTTTAAACTTTTTATTCAGAATTTACGCAGAATTTGGTACGCAGTTTTGTAGCCCATTTAATTTTAGTATAATAAAGTGCAAGTTTCAAGTGGCTAGAAAACACCGTTGATTTTTGACAGTTTTTTATGTTGACGATGATAGGCGTACTCTTCCATATAAAAAAAAAAAATCTAAAATCTGAATAAAAAACTTGAAATTTTGGTGAAAATTTGTCGAATTTTCATAATTTTCGTCCAAAGTTTGAAAAGCGGATTTATATGATGTTTTTTGTATAACTACCTAGGCTTTTATAAAAAAAA